GTACCTGTATATCGCTAATTATAAACCGAATGTGTGAAGATAGTTCATACATATCACTCAAAAATTTTTCAGTACAAACTCAGTTGATTCACGCTCGATTTGCTACTAAACAAACCCATCGGTTTATTTTCTCAACAGTGTGACCTGAAGTGACCGCGGATTTATTGACCTTGTATGAACTTATCCATAGCTATATCCTTACACCGAGAGAAATTATCTAGTCTCGGTGACAAGAACCATGGTCATCTGGTAGAAAATTACTTTTGTATTTTTTGGAACGGAAAACAGTGTTTTTAGAAGCAAACTAACCTGCCGCACATGAGGAAGTCATTATACTAATAATAAAAGGCGAGACCTCTTTTTGCGGCGCAGGCTTATCACTGAGTAGTAAACCGTCCACAAACAATAATACAGAAGCCTAGTGACGAGTGTAGTACTGTAAGTAGGCTATAGACTATAGGTTTGAGTCGAGATTACTCGCTTTCAGTTTACTCTGTTTTTGCGATAACCAATTATGTGAGAAATACCATACTGACATTCGGTTTTTAAAAGTTGTACGCGAACTAAATGCGTTTGTTAGATACTGACAGAGCAGCCCCGAGTCGAACAATCGCCGCCCGAGCTGTCTTCGTCAGCTAGTTTCACAATATCGTGCAATAGGTGTATTAATGTGATTTTTAGGTTTAACCCCGCAAACAATGCAAAAAAAAATTTTTTTATGAGGGTGACCCTCCCACACACTCCCTATCGAGCTGCCGCTCGGTCTGCGCAGCCTCATGCCTGGCACATACTGTCAACATTGTATATTTTTCCGTTTCCGCCCTCCCCCCCACCCCACAATATATATTTCACGGCTACGTTGCGACGGTACCAGCATACCCAGTTGTTGACACCCATTACATCACTCCTGTCTAACAAATCATAAAGCTGTGGTGTTACGGTGGCGGCATAGTATTTCACCGTAACACCACAGCCACTCTAACCATTCATAATACATCTAACTATCCCTTTACAGCACTTCACTCCCTACACATTTCCCCTCGTCCTACTTTCCCAAACGTCAACAACACATCTCATACATCCAGTTCGCTGATTAACCCTTGTACCACGTCTACTGGATAGTTCCAAATAAGAGTAGTGTATCCCCATTACCCCAGTCTTTGCAGAAAGGTTGGCCATTGACCTCATTTCATTTCATATCGCCGGCTAGACACGACATACTACAGTTTAACAGGATATCATTAATCCCGTCTTTTTCAATAGGAGTATTGTATATCATGTATATTATAACAAGCCACGCGTATATAAACCATTGTAGGGCCTATAGCTATAGGACAACTAAACATTTGATACAGTGAACACCAACTTGCGCTCCGAATTGAAAGGCAAAAGTCTGACAACGGCACACACAAGAGAATTGATCATTTGCATCACCATAACTCATAAGAATAAATAAATTTTGTATTTGTCTAGGTTGGCTGAAGAGGGGCTATTACAGAATCCGCTACGGATAAACCGTACCCAAACTCTAACCCGTGTTCAGTGCTCGTGCAATAAGGTAATGCAACTGGTGCACAAAGTCTGCATATTTGACCGTCGAATGTTTAACCCAAATTGTTATCCATTCAAGCCGACAATCATCGATAGCCTATATAGATTATTTATCCAGGTTTTGTTACACCCGTGCGTTGATATATAGACTATATATAAAATTAGTAAGCCAGTATAACTATGTTGTTTTGATATATACGTATATCTGTAGTAATCTAACTATATTGTTTAGATATACGTATATATGTGCATTATAACATAGGCTTACCGTCAACAACTTCTGATCTCCACTGTAATTCCGTTTAACTTTCAAATTATAATCCTTCTTTCTCGTCGGTTAACATAATACAGTGGTAGGGGTGACAAACGAAGCGGAACGGGGGTTAAATTATGGAAGCCTATTAGTGCCAAGATATATAAAAAAAAATTGTACCAATATCCACCACGTTGGATCCTGATTAGGATCTATTGTCTGTTTCGTAGGACTTGATATCTCCTACAGGACAAACTATTTACTCCTACAGGGCATGAAATCTCCTATCACAGGACATAATATCTAGCCTACTGTGTAGGACTCGATATCTCCTACAGGACATAATATCTCCTTGATATCACTTGAGCTTCAGAACAAACCAGAGAGGAACCAGACACATATATTTTTAAGTCTCTCTGAAGATTACGACCCGACTTTAATTTGTTACGTTTATGTTTGGGTTCGTTCCAGCACAATACTGATAACTGTATCCGATATTGCGTTTACAAGGTATTCGGAATCGGGAAAGGTGGTGGGTGATGCTTAATTGTAGCTTCTATCGCATAAACGAGCCAAATTTTGACCGACGGACGGACGGTTCGACGGGGGTGGGGGTGAAGGAGCGTTACCCTAACCAAGTTATACTAATAAAATCATATATTTCCCATCTAAGCAGTTTGTTTTACAAATAAAAAACAGAGTCCAAAACATTGTATAAAAAATATAATGATGACAGTTGATAATTAAGCAAATAATAAACGCACCATTTAATGGACATTAGAATTAATCGTTAACTATAAAATAAAACTGAATACACTTTATTACTGCGTATAATTGATTTTATAATAATATTTATCTACATACACTTATACGACAGCTGATAACCGACCAGTTCCAAATGCTACTAAGTCGGATAGACCTAAAAAACTGACGTATCAAGTACAATCTCATATTTATATGGAATTACTTCTAATCCCTTAAAATTGATTTGAAATGTTAGTTTATTATTAAATCTGTCGAAACAATATCTAGTGATTTATTTAAATACATTTGTTTAAAATTGTAAATCATAATTAAGTCTTCCAACAAATAAATCAGCACATAAAATAAAATGAAAACAAAAATACAACAAATCCGGTCCCAAAGTAACAAAGATGAGAAAAATTGGAAAGAGCAATTAAATACAACAAATACAACAAATCCGGTCCCAAAGTAACAAAGATGATAAAAATTGGAAAGAGCAATTAAAAAAACAAAACAAAACAAAGAAAGATTGTACATGCAGGTGTGTAGGGGTGGGGTGGGTTAGGGTGCACTTACAATATTTCTTGGTGAAGTACTTTATCTGCAAGTTTCATAATAAAAAAAATATAATCGACTGCTAGAATCGCGTGATGTTTTTTTGATGATAAATAAGACTGTATTCTGCCATGCCCGTAAGCCATTACGGCTACGTGTATTCATTTTAAACGATCTCGTATCCCATGTCGAAACTGGCAGCTATACCCTATTGAAACAAAGTTTGTTTTAAAAAAGATACTAAAATTAACATATACAAATAAGTAACACACCTAAACAAATTATTAATACTTAGAATAAACTAATAACAAATTCTTAATATGGCTGACGAAATTGGCAGATATACCCCATCGAAACAAAGTTACTTTAAAAAGATACTAAAGTTAACATACATTAGTAAAAATAAGAAACATAACGAAACAAATTCTTAATACTTATAATAAACTAACAACAAATTCTTAATACTTAGAATAAACAAATTCTTAATACTTAGAATAAACAAATTCTTAATACTTAGAATAAACAAATTCTTAATACTTAGAATAAACTATAATAACGAATTATTAATACAGTGTACAAGTTAAAAATATTTTATTCTGGTATAATTAATAGCGTCCTACACTAAAGGGGGCACTATCTAGATCAGATTTTTAATATAGACTTGAAGATAACGGGATTCATAACAAGAACATATATTAATCAATTTGTATAACTTGAATCAAGGTTATTTAAAGTTTACATTAGTTTCTATTCATTTGATTAAAACACAAATTTTTATTTCGTTTCGTTTTTTAATACTTTCGATGACCTACACTACATGAAGATCTGACCAGTTGTACTGGAATGTCGCGTCAGGGGTCGTACGAGCGGCTTTTGACCCTATGAGGTCTGACATTGATTAATCAATCAGCGTTGACGTTTCAAGTGGTTCACCCACAGTTCTGTGTATGGCACGCCAAGAGGTCGCCATAACAGATGGTTTCATTGGCTAATCCCTCACGCCATCCAGAACGCCAGTCATATAACAACTCCTCCAGGTCCTAGCGTAGTACAGACAAATAAAACGAAATTTTGAACTATAAAAAACGAAACGAAATAGGATCTGTGTTTTAATCAGATTGACGCTAATATTAATTATTCCATTTATGAGTTTCTTTTACAGTCGGGTTTTGAAAAAAACCCATCGTGATTTGTGAAACGAAATATACGACTTTTGCCAGGGTTCTTTCATTTCATTTCCCAATGAATAAATTCTTAAACATTAGTCTGAAATTAACACGGACATACATATGGTCCCGTGTACGATAAATTTAATATAAGTCGCACAAATGACTTTTAAATAACACTCACTTAACTTACAGTCAGTGATTCTCAACTAGTGTACCGCGAGATCTTCCTAAGTATGCCGCGAAATTTTAAACGGCACACTAAGAAAATGTGAAAAACCACGTGAACCCAATTGAGTATTCACTGGTATCGTATACTGATAGGTTCATAGCTGTGTTTTTCTTTATTTAGTTTGAGTCATTCTATGTGTCTATGACTAGTCTCTGTCTACGGTTGTATTCCGTCTGATTTACCATGGTTTTAATTTCAAAATTCAAATATTTTTCCTATATATTTAGCCAGGTGTGCCGCTAATTTTCCATGTGTTCCAAGGTGTGCCGTTGACTAAAAGAGGTTGAGAACCACTGATTTATAGATTTGATATAAATTTAGAGCAGGAATGGATGACCAACTGTTGGTGCATTGGATGATTAAAAGTGACACATTTCATCTGATAATAATAAAGTAAGGCAGTAAACCGACTCAATATTTTTAGCTACTTCATTATTTCGTGCTCACACTTTAAAGTGAATTCGTATTGTGATCAAATTGTATAAAATGTTTGCTATCCCTAGTCTAAAATATTTAAATAAAATTTTGATTACAATATTTAAAGTATTGGAAAATTCAATTTATACATTTTCAATGTACACACTCCATGTTAAATCTGGCCTTTTATCTGTTTTCTCTTTACATTGATTTTCAGCCATCTGTCAAAAGAATGTAACATTATTAAGAAGTATTACGTTTGCCATTGTGCACTGTTTGTACAAAAAGGTAACATTAGCATGCTTATTGTTAGTAGACTAAATCTCCCTCTTTTGCCGTTCGTGTAAATATTTATATGAACAGTGAATAATTCTTGGGAGAAAACAGGGGCAATTTCTAGATAATTTTAATACCATACACGAGCTTCCTAATTCCAGCACAACAATAATCCAGTACACAAAATATTATTAAAATTTGGATTTATAACTAGCCTGCGAGCACAAGCAAATCGACAGCAACATTGTTTTTTTTCTAAATGATATTTGATTAAGATTTATATTTGAATAGGGATTGGAGAACAGACATAGCCTATATTACCCCCCCCCCCCCATTGATTGATTACTAAAATAAAACTGTATTATTTGTCGAATGTGTTCATCCTGACACAAACTGCTGTATCGTATTTCGTAGGCAGACTGGATAAAGTTGCCTAGGTGCCCCACAATAAATTGGCCACAATATCAACTCCGTTCAGCCATGCTTATGGAACGCCATAGCTGTCTTATCTTGAGCCGTTTCGAGATGTCGTTTTAACTGAGGGTCTTGTCTCGTTAACTAAGTGTCCTGTCCTATTAAAATACTATTGTTTCTCCTCAAATTACCAAGATATCTTCCTCGCGAACTATAATATCTTCTCATTCGTTCATTATATTATGTTAAACGAGGATGATATCTTGTCTAAATAACATGTTAACTTCTCTACATGACGTGTTATCTTCAAACTGTTCTGCTATCTTGTCAACTCGTCTACATAAACTTGTTTGTCAAGGGGAGCCACGGTGGCTAAGTGGGTAAGACGCTGGCTCGCTAGACCGAGAAAGATCATCCAGATTTTCCAACGTGGTTTCTCCTTGTCAGTGGTGCAGGACCGAGGGTATGACAAGGACAGCTGTCTAGTCGTTCGGGTTGGACGACAAACCGAGGCCCCGTGTACATATTGGTGTGTACTTTAAAGATCCCTTGACAGTAGTAATTCGATTTAAGAGTAGGCGATAGTGCCGCTGCCCGTGCTATCTTGTAAAACTATCTTTTCAATACACAACAACACATACTTATGGAAAACCAGCTACTTATTTATTTGTTTTTCCAGAAGTATGTGTTTTTGTGTATTGCTCTATCCAGTTACTAAATGACTCTAAAAGATTATCTTGTCAATATATCGTGTTAAATGGGCATGTTACGTTGGCAAGCTACCAAGTTAACAAAGTATATTGACAAGATGATAGCCTGACAGTTTGACAAAATAACACTTCACGTAGTTGACAAGATAACACGCCATTTAAACAAGTTAACACAGTGTTTGGACAAGATAGCATGTCCGTTTAAGAAGATAACACGCCACGTACAGAAGTTAGCATGGTATCTAGACAGGATATCATGTTAGTTAAACATAATATAACGACAAGATACCACAAGATAGCATAACACTAGATAGTTCGTATGGAAGACATATGCAGAGGCGTAGCCGTGAAATATATATTGGGGGGGGGGGCGCAACCCTAACCCCTAACCCTAACCCTTTTTTTAAAAAACCCTGAAAACTATAAACAAACACCATGTGGCCATGCTGTCTACACAACTCGTTCGCTGATTGGCCCAGGCAAGCATTATGGTTACGTGGCTGGCTGAGCGGGCGATAAATATTTGGTTTAGGCAATAATGTTTTTGGGTACCTACATGCGATTCACTCTGATAAGTGACAGAAAAAAATTAACAAAATATTGCTGACGGGCTAACTAGACACAATTTTATGGAACACGGTTACTTTTCACTTCACACAGGTTTCCAGGATGATTCTCTCTGTGTTTTATTTTAGCAATGTAAACCATATTGGGATATTCACAGGTTTTATACAGATAGAATCTTAAATAATCCTAATAATTGTTGTAAATATATAGGAGTTTGGGCCTACTATGTAAAAATTTTTTTTTTTTTTTTTGGGGGGGGGGGGGCAAATATATTCAGACCCCCCTAGAACAACCATGTGTGACGCCCATGGACATATGGTAACTTGAGAAGATACGATACCATTTTAACAAGACAAGACACCCAGTTAACAGACATCTCAACACAGAACAGCTACGGCGTTCCGTAATGCTGAATGAGACGACATATTATTTTGGTCTAAACCATCTTATTGACATGGGATTAAAATAACATTGGGGCTTGATATAATATCGTTTAATTACTCAGTCTTATTTTATAACTGCTAATGATAGGTGCCAATATTCAAATGCTAAAATGACCCTTGAAAAGTTCTTACACCATAGCTTGATAAAATGCATAACTTATTTCGGTAAATGATCAAATAAATTAACTTATTCTTACTAATTAATTCGGTTGATATGCTGATAATCTGTTGTGTTAATCTACAGGCTTGGGTGGAATGGCTTTCGTTATAAGCATCATGTGGAATCCTGGGATAACTGACTGTGTCAGGATATCTCATTCGGGTATGTTCTCCAATGGTTGACTGTAGTTTTGCTGCTAATTGTACAAGATTAGGATATGGTAACCCACTGGCAACACGATTCAAATTATGGTTCTGGTTCACTTTATTTGCATCTATTTTATACCATACAGCTTTTAAAGCCTTTTCAGCCGACTGAATCAATACAAATAAAAATATTGTTATTGTGGTGCGTTATATATTTTTATAACAAATAGTCTGTTTTCACAAAGTTTTTAAATGTTTTTTTATAGTATAATGCAGTAATATTCTCTTGACGGTTTAGTTATAAGCAACTTTCTTAAGAGCGTTTAAGTTATTTGTTTTCCGACGTGGTTTCCCCTTGTCAGTGATGCAGGACGGAGGGCCCGACAAGGACAGCTGTCTAGTCCTTCGGATGAGACGAAAAACCGAGGTCCTGTGTAAACATTGGAATGCACGTAAAAGATCCCTTGGCAGTTGGAATTCGATATAAGAGTAGGCGATAGTGCCGCTGCCCGGGCAAAATTTCCCTCATAGCACACTGTATGGCGTATGCCCGTCTTCATTAGCCCAGTATAGGAGCAGAACAGTAGGACGTTAAACCCCATTTCATTTCATTTCATTTTTAAGTTATTTGTTAAATTGTTCCAATCCTTTTAAAAGGACATAGACACAGGAACATACATACCTGTTGACATTTGTAACATATCCAGTTATGTGTGTTTGCGCCACTAGATAGAGATTGCTCCGCTGCATTCAAGTCCCAGTCTGCTTGCTTCAGCCATCGTGCTGCTTGTCCAGGTGATGGGTTTGGTTCATCTCGAGCTGATCTATGGAAACTATTATCACTGTAATATCGTCTATTGGATCTTTGTTCTTCAGAATACCGTGCGTGATTTCTACCTGTCGAATACACGTTGCTGTAAAACTGTTCATATGAACGACTATGTTGTGATCTTCTTGTACCATCTGTTTCATCATCAGGAACGGATTCTTCATCTAAACTAAGGCCTCTATTCAATCTTTCCACATAGTTTAATATGTGTTTCGTGATTTCGGTTGACTGCGCAACATTATGTGGGTTTTTATCTGGGTGCCATCTTAACAAAAGTCGTTTAAGAACTCTTCTTCTTTCACTCTCATCTGAATGTCCCCATGCTCGCGCCAAGTTCCGTCGTATATCCCGCAATACAGTCTGAGTGTCTAAATTATCGCTATTACTTTCTATTTGTGGTTCTGCTTCTTCCCTTTCACTCAGGACCAATTCCCGTGAGGTACTTGTGTTGTTTCGGTGGAATTTATAAAGTCTTGTAACTTTAGCTTGGATGGGTTCCTCCTCTCCTACATCAATACTATATATAGCAAACTCAGTATCAGTTTCTGCCTGTATTTTCTCCACAATAGTAGCGTATATATAATATGGGGGATCCACGGTGTTTCTATCATCACTTATGTCCTCAATATCGGGATCATAAATTTCATATCCAACATATTCTCCTTCATCAAAATCACAGAAACTGTTATCCAACAGCCAGTGAAATCTTTCGGGTATGATGGTACCGACTGGTGGAAATAACATATGTCTCAGAATAAATTCTGAGGTTTTTATCTCACGGTCATCCAAATACGACTCGATTTCATGCGATTTTCCCTTTACTACCTTCTTCCAAATATCCCGAAAATCCCCACTGATATCAATATTAAATATCCGTCGAAGAAGTTCAGATAATTTATGATGAAATTCTTTGAGGTTATCTTTCGACCTTTCTTTATCAACAAACAAAGTATAATATGACGATTGCTCTGATCTGTGTTGCTTTAGAAAGTAAATTTTACATGACTGTTCACTTCCTGGCACTGCTTGGTCTTGATGTATTAGATGAGTCATAAGATTGACCACTTCAAATATTTGAATATCTATCACAGTTTGGATCCCTTCATCCAGAAGACTGTTTGATTTAACGTCAATAGTTTGTCCATGGTTCTCTGTATTGTGTCGCACCAAACGCGCTATCCCTTTCAACACATGCTCATTTTTTAACATGCCAGAAACTTTGTTCGTAAATGTCGTGTTTGGAAGAGCATTTTCCAGGCATTCCGGTGTAATTGTTACTTCTACGACCTTACTTAATGGCTTCATCTGGTACTTTTTAGGAAAATGATTATGAATCGTCCATTGGTCTAAACCTACATGTATAGTCATCTCACGAAACCCTATGAAATATGGAAGAGTTAGATTTTCGACTCTCCGGTAAATGCTCATATTATCAATCATAACCAATTCAGTAGACTTTGTCAAAATTCTATTTCTGTTCGGTAGAAATAAGTACTTTTCATTCATAGAAGTTTCGGTTTCTGTATTTTTCTCCCATAAGCT